CATTTATGGATTATCGACTTCATGCCAGAAAATGCTTAATACAACAGGATCTTTGACCTTAAGTAGTTCATTCAATCAGGGACTGCAGAATTACAAGCAAAAAAGTCAGCAGTTTTGATATACTGTAGATATCAGAGTGAAAGTAGTATAGAACAGAGTGAAAATAAAACCACACAGAAGATCTGGTGCAATCACAGCCACACTTCCCATATTTCCTTCAAACCTACCACTTGTGCAATTCAATCCCCAACACAAAGCAACCCAGGAACACTTATTTTCAATTAATGGGTTTCTGAAAACAGTATGTTAAATGGCAAATGGAAGTATAATTTATCTTACTCTTGTTGCACAGTCGAAGAAAAATAATATGAAACTGCTCTTTTTTAGAAACGAAAGTGGATCATTGTTGTCACAGGGAGCTTTTATGTGCAAAATATATTTGATAATAAGGTGAATTCTTTCAAGCTATTATATTCTGTGACCATCTGGGGAGACAGTTTGGGGGATAAATACAGCAGAAATAATTAGAGAAGGGACATTAAGGAAAAACAGCAGACATGGTTGATTTTCTTTGATATTCTTTTATAGTATAAATATCATGAAAGCCTTGGTCATATCACAGAGACAGTGCTGAAAAGATTCTGAGCACTTTATCGTTATTCCCAACAGCGTCCTGAAGCTCCTATTCCAAGGGCTGGGCTTTCTGGGAGCATCTAACATAACCAGGCAACTCAGGGAATTTTTGTAGAAATAGTTTCTTCACATGAAGTATACTTGATAATAACATTTTAATGTAATATTGACATTTCTGATTTTTAACTCTTTTGGGCAGCATCTTGATGGAAAAGAAAATCACTTGTGATAGCTTCGGCATGAGTGTCTCATATCATGGTAGTTTAACCTGGTTTTATCCTATATCAGAGATATTCATATTCCATCAGAAAAGAACTAATGTGCCCTTCATGTTTTACAGAAGCAAGTCATTTCTAATCACAGTTGATGCTAAAATTGTCTTAAAATTATTAATTATTATTGAGTGAATATTATAGAAAATATTGGTGGTTTATTTTCAGAAGTCTTGGTAAATAATTAAAATACATACTTATTATATATGCATAATATTTTGTTCAGATTATTGATTATCCATTTGGACTTAATTGGTCTTCTTTGGGCAAACAACTGAGAAATTGAGCCAAATCATGACATTTGTGATCCATGTGACATGAATGGTTGGACAAAGGACTATGTATACTCTTGTTATTCAGAGTATGGTCCACAGGCCAGTAGCATCAGAATTACCTTGGATCTATTAGAAATGCAGAATCTTGGTCCCCAGCTTCAAGTCTATTGAATCAGCAAATGCATTTTTAGCAAGATTCTTAGGTGATTAAAACATTAAGTCAGGGGATAGATCTCAACTCTGGCTACACATTAACATCACTTAGGGTGCTTTTAAAGTGCTTCTCAGGCCTTACCCAAAACCAGTAAAATCAAACTCCTTAAGGGCAGGTCCAAGGCATGAGTTATTTTATAATGCTCACTGTGATTTTAATATGCTGCCAAGTATGGGAACTATGAGTTGCACAATGCCGAACCCATCAGTAAATTCGGTGTGTTCCAAAAGGGCAAAAAAGGAAGAAGGAAGCCAAACCAATTTCTTTGCATTCGGTATCACTCTAAAAATGATCGATTTTTTTTAACTGTTAATATGTTTGCTTAGCTACTGTGTGAACACAGCCTATTATGTCTCAACCTGCTTAAAAGTGTATTTTATTTTAAACCCAAGTCCAGGAACACTTTGCTTTCCAAATTAATTAAAAGTAGATTTTAGGTTTGTGTTTCAACTTTGTTTCCTTTTGCCAATCTTATTTTCCAACCTGACAGCTCGACTTGCTGAATCTCAGACACTGTGCATCCACTGTACCTTTGGGTTGCTCTCCCTCTTCTCCATGCACTCGGTTCTCAGATTTTACTCCAAACATTCCCTTTTCACTCCAGCGCACTTGCTCCTCTCCCCTGAATTCAGATGTTGCAGCTGTTTCTATCATGCACTCTCACTTTCTGGTCTTACATTGTTAGCGCCACTATTTAGTGGAATGAAATCACCTGCTTTTTTATTTTTATTTTTTAAATATTTTTTCTTTATTGGTTTTAGAGGGAGAGGAAGAGAGATATATAAACATCAATGTGAGAGAACATCAATTGGCCACCTCCTGCATGCCTCCCATTGGGGATCAAGCCCAAAACCTGGGCATGTACCCTGGTGCATGGGTTGATGGCTCAACCACCAGCCGGGCTACCTGTTTTTTAATTTCTACATATAATCTCAAGCATTAACAATCTAGTCAAAATTATCATGTAGAAATAGGAAAGGAAAAAGTAAATCATAGCATAGTGTTTATGGTAGTCATTATCATCCCATTTTATAGCTAAGAAGACTGGGTTTCAGAAAAGCAAGGTGACAGGCTAGTAAGTTTCAACACTAAGATATTTTTCCCAATGCCTGGCTGGTGTGGCTCAGTGGCTGAGCATCAATTCATGCACCAAGAGGTCACCGGTTCGATCCAAGTCAGGGCACATGCCCAGGTTATGGGCTCAATCCCCAGTGGGGGGCATACAGGAGGCTGCCAATCAGTGTTCTCTCTCATCGATGTTTCTGTCTCTCTTTCTCTCTCCTTTCTCTTTAAAATTAATAATATATATATATATATTCATATATATGTGTGTGTTTGTATACATCTATATATATATATACCCCCCCAAGACTATTTGATTCCAAGTACAGCGAAAGTTTGATTTGCTTTTGATTATGTGTGTGTGTGTGTGTTTCCAATATAGTACTTTTATTATAGTTCTGGGGCAGATTAAGAACATGAATACACTAAAACATACTGAAAGAAGACTCTTCTTAAAATCAGTGTCCACTCTTATGGGTTTTGTTTTGTTTTTTACACTAATCTGGTTTCTTTTGTCAGAAAATTATTGAAGCTTGGTGGGTAGGAGCAAGGGAATGTCACCATAGTATATTTCTTTTTATAAAATCACTTTTTATTACACAAGTAATACTGAATAATGTTTTCTTGTAAACAAATTAGAACATTACAGATATGGACTAAATCCCATGGGGGACAGCACCCCATGCCCACTGTACCTCGTCTTTATATCTTTATTCCTCCGCAGAAATAATCATTTATATCTCTATACATCATTTAAGACATTTTAAATGAGAGAGAGAGAGAGAGAAAATATTATAATTTTGATTATATCAGTTTTTGATGTATAATCATCCAAAACACAGCACTTTGGTAGTTTTATTTGTATGTCTAATGTGAAAGACCTGGGAAGGCTAATTCAGTGGTTGACAATTAGGATTGAAATGTGTATCTCAACCCTGTGGAGTAATACTCTAAAACTTAGAAAGATAAAAATGTAAATATCAAAGTACATATAAGAAATGGAGAATTCTGATTTAACATCAGTTTATATGGAAAAGTCTTAGAGGTTTGTTTATCACCGACCCAAAATTTAATAAAACGTCTAATGCTTTGAAAGTTAGTAGTTCTTATCTCTAAAATAGGACTCTTTTAAATATATCTGAAATTACTCCAGACTATATCATTGTAGAAGGAAAATACTAAATTAAGTAAACCGTGTATAATACAGTGGACTAGTAATTTTAAAAGGTGGGCCTAATTTATGAGTATATTCTTTATATATTTTTTTATATAAAAACAATGCCAGGTAAAAGAAAATTATTTTGCCTTCCTTGTGGCAAATACTCTAGTTTGTGTTATAGTACAAAACTTTTGTTACAGATCAAATGATTTTAGCATGAAAAGTTCTTACAATAAGGCGCTGCAGTGATACCCTTCTCCATGTTGCCTCTTCTCACGTAAGGGTCTTGTCCTATGGAATTAATCTCACTCAATGTAAAGCTAATTCTCTAGTATGCTAACACGTCTTAGTGAAAAATATTCACACCCACCATTCTTGGCCTGAGTACCTGGGATCGGAGTATGGTAAGTCAGGGACATTCTCTGCACGACACACCTGCTTTTCCATGTTAACATCGACCCCTCTGCCTGATTTTTACTTTGACTTGTGCCAAAAATCATAGATTTTTGAAGAAAAAAAAATTCTCCTAACAAAAAAATTTAGAGCCTCTTAATCCACTGATTAACTGAAAAGCTTTCCCAACATTTGTGAATCTTTTTTATCGTGATTTCAGACATTAAGTACTGATTATATAGGGTACAAGGAAGTATAGGCTATCAGACATAAATTAATTTTCCTTTTCTAAAAGAAGTTGAACGTAATATTCATTTATTATGACCTTGAATGATTGTAAGATGTAGGTGACTATGAGTCTTGACCTCTTTAAAAAAAGTTTTTTTTCTAAAATGAAAATAACCTCTTACATTAAGTATTTTAGAAAATAGAACCCTGACTAAAAAGGAGCAACCTGAATCAGTGAGGCAAATAACTGGTGTATTTGTAAGGACGCCAAACCATGGTTTTATTTGACTATGTCTGTCTATTCCCTGATGTGCACCATAGCACATGAGAAGGAGATTCAAGGTCTTAACTTTATTACTGGCTTTCTTCAGCAGTATCAAACCAATGATAGGTGTTTATCTACCAATGTGTGCGTCTCCAGATAAAGTAGCTCATTGTAATTCTCGCCTCTGGTTTTCCTGCCCCAAGGAAATATCTGTATCTCAGATCTGTCTAATTAACCAGTATGTGAAGAATAGAGAATCGCGAGGCAATCCTTATGCTCATCCTTGCTGGGCTTTGAAAAGCTCAATGAAGTTTCTATCTACATTTTCTTGTTTACACTGTGGAGCAAAATGGATCAAACAAGCAAAGATCTGTGACAACAGAGAAAGTGCTTTTGTATAATACAACACATATTGTGAATCAAAGAAATATTGTGCCACTTCTCCGAGGCTGACATTGGAATGACATTGTAATCCTGGCCATCTGTCTTGCTCCTCTAGATATCGACGAATGCGCGGTGGTGAATGGAGGCTGCCAGCAGCGCTGTATTAACACTCCGGGCACCTTCCACTGCGAGTGTGACACAGGATACAGGCTCCATGCTGATGCACGCACCTGCATAAGTGAGTAAATATTAGGACCAGCTTGAAGCCATTTTAAGTGAAAAATCAACCTGCCCATGTAGGGGCAGGAGAGAAAGGCTTTCTATTGTAAAAATATCTATAGAAGATGACAGTTTTCAAGCACAATTCTATCCCTTAGAATAAAAAAGGTTTTTTTGCTATAAATAAACTAAAAGACAAAAATATATATATGGGGAAGGAAATATAGAAATTAACATTCACAAGCAAAATTTGAATCCCCATGTGGGTGACTATTTGCATAGCAAATCATTCTGCCTTATGCAGTCAAGTAAAATTTGTTAGTTATTGCTATGCACAAGGATAGCACAGAGCCCAGTGAGAGAAGGATGTTGGGCTGTTACCGTCACCTGCTACAGTGTCCACTCATTGCAGACCAGACTCAGAACTGGGTTCAGGATTGTAAGAGCAAACTTTATAACGGATCATATGCCAATTTTAGAGTTGCTCAAGAATAGTTAAAACTACACACATTAAATTAGGTTACTATATATTTATTGTATATCAAAATGTTCTTAGATATTTGTGTGTGGTAGGATTATTATTTTAAGTAGTATTTGTATATTTTTGAATTTAAAAAAATTTTTAAGATGACTATGTGCATTTATTTATACACAGTAAAAGAAAACAGCAGAATACATTTTTAAAACCCTGTTCTTCCTGTATGATTTATGGCTGCTCTGATTTTGTTTTAGCTGCAGTAGTTTACATAAATGTGGCTAAGTGGTGTTTTCATTGAATGATGACCCTCAAATGGCATCAGGCATCCACTAGTTTTATCAGCAGATCCCTTTGAAAATATTTTTTATATTAAAAGAGTAGTACCTTGCCCTGGCTGGTTTGGGTCAATGGTTAGAGAGTCAGCCTGCGGTCCAGAGAGACCCGGGTTCGGTTCCTGCTAAGGGCACGTACCTCGGTTGCAGTTTGTTCCCGGCCCTGGTTGGGTCATGCGGGTGGCAGCCACTCGATGTGTCCCTTTCATGTTGATCTCTCTCTCTCTCACTCTCTCTCTCTCCTTCCCACCCTATCTGAACAAAAAAAGGAAAAAAAAAAAAAAAGTCCTCGGGTGAGGATAAATAAATAAATAAAAGAGTAGCACCTTGAAGAGCATAATTGCTGGTTTAAATAGTCCATCTATTTAAAATTACTAATATTTTATAAGTATTCTATAATTATGAAATTTGGAGTAGAAACAAGCTAATTTGACCTAGTTTTATAACATATACTCCCTTTTTTCTTTTTTCTGAACATACTTTGTAGGAAATGAGAGAGGTCAAGGGAAAGAGCTAAAGATGTCCTAGTCAGAGGTCTGATTTTGATAAGAGCAAATAATGGAGGGTCTGAGAGGAAGAAAAGGAGCTTTCCAAACTTGAGTGAAGATACAAATAGAAGTTGTACCCTAAAGCCCAGGGAACTCAATACTGGAAATGTTGTATCTGCAGCAGGCAAAGTGGGGGTGGGACATGCACAGTTGCATAACCAGACTCCCTCTTCTTGCAGGATTACTGGTCTTAGTAGTAGGAATTGCTTTCCCATCCCCATTCCAACCTGTAAGGTCTTCAGCTGGTGTCATCCCTAAGCGGCCACCATCCCTTCTGTCAGTCACAAATATTTAGAAGCAGCAGAATTATCAAGACATGTAGTTGCGCTACTTATCAGAAAAGGTTGAGCTGGTGAATTATTGTGTCTGATATAAAAGTACTTTGCAAAGTAGTGATTTACATAAATCTATAATATCTGGTCTTTCTGATAAGGCAAAATAAATACTCTAGCAGCCAACAAAATTATATTTATAGGTAAAATTAATTTCTAGACCCTGGCAGTTATTAACAATTTCTAAGTAAAATCATTAAGCTCTTTCCTTATTCCTCATCACCACTACCCTTGAATTTTCCAATTTTAGTTTTAATGACATCAGGTCAAAAGTGGAGGTGGATAAAGATATTATGGTTTGTCTTTCTATTTCTTCTCCTTGAATCACAATTCCTATTGAACAAATACATTGACAGTGTGATAATGGTGTATTTACAGTTCCATATGGTGATCCTCTCCTTATGCAGAATTTCAACTTAGTGTAAAATTGAAAGATATATATGTATACACACAACGCACACATATACGTGTGTGTATATATATATGGTATGAATTAAACTTATGAAAAATGCCATCATTTTAAAGCATTTAACTATTGAATATCGTTCTACAGAAACCACTGGACTGAGAGCCCAGCTCTTGCCCAGCAGGGGAATTTTGATGCCTTTCTCATACACATATGCTGAATTTTTGGTTTCAAGGAATGGTTATAAAAATCTCAGTTGATGCTATTAAAAGAATTTAAGCCCTTCATATTTAAAGATTAATAATGTAAATGTGAGGAGAAGAATTGTTTGTTTGCTTATTTGTTTTGAAAGAAAGGGTTTATGGAGAACTAAGTTTCAGATTAGTCTGTATTTTGAGTTATAGTGTAGGAAGTGTCAGATGTTTTTAAAAACAGGAAATTAAGTTAGCTCACTTGCCCTTTGGGAGCTTTTCCCTGGCAGGAGACTGAGAATTGTAGTAGAAATTCATCATGACCTGTGGTAGAGTCACAGAAGAGAGGATGGAGTTATGGGCTTGTATGATTCCACTACTTTGGAGTAATTGAAATTAACTGCCTCCACTTCTTTCTCCCTCCTCCCTTCTTTTCTTTCCTTTGCACCATTCTTCCCATCAGTCATAGACCTTCGCTAGTGTGTCTTTTTGAATTAGAGCCTCCAGCTCTTTTTCCACTTCCTTTTAATCACAGCTACAGGAAAGTGAAATCTCTGCACCCCCAAACACTGAGTGTCAAAAGATTTCATTTTGAAGATGGGTCCCATCTCTAAGGGCTGTGCACTCGTGTGGATATGTGGCCAGCAGTTACCTTCAACCTCTGCTGGGATGATTGTCCCACCGAGTGGTGCAGGAGAAAGGCCCATACTAGCTGGCTGTGGTGGCCAGAAGTGTGACAGTCCCTGGCCTGCTGAAAGGCAGCATCAGGAAAGCCAGTCTGAGGATGTCCCCTGGAGAGAAGGATCCCAGCAAGGAAACCCACCGCACCTGATCGGTGGCAGGGCACACACACAGTACGGGAAATTGTGGAATTCCTGGCAGATTTGATTTGCTGTTAGTGTTCTACATAACACAGATATGACCAAGCAATTCATATCCTTTTATTTGGAAACCAGCAACTTAACAGATGGAAACTAGATTTTAGCAATCACCAGAAAGACAGAGATGTTTATGTTCATATTAGTTCACCATTAAATCTTGTGCTTGTGGACTAGGGACAGTGATGTGGCAGAGTCCAAGTTGGCATGTGGCCTTCAGCTTAAACTCTTAAATCACTTAATCTCTCTACACCCAAGACGCATGTGCAAATTGTAGAAAGTGGCTAGAGTGACCTTAAAGTTACTGCATTTCTGAAGTGTAATAATTTTATTGAGTTTCCACAATTAGTAATTTTTTATAAATCATCTACTAACCTGTAGTTTTTAAACCTCCTTGAATTATATGTAATAATCATTTTTAAAAGTGTTTAAAGCATTTAGAATTTTGAAAGTCCAAGCATAAAGAGTGTGAGAATTTTATATCCAGTTTAATAAAAATGACTGTATAACTTAAATGTTTTTATTGAAAAGAAGTATACTTTGATGCTTTTGTAAAAATATTATTTTCTATGCTAAATGATCATATCTGGGGGAAATCCAAGAAGTAATCCAGCTCAATCTCCTACCTTAGAGATAAGAAGTCTGAGAGCTAAAGAGATCAAGTAACTTACTTTGAGAAAGAAAATGGTAATTTTCAGGAACACCTGGCTAATTACAATTCTGATCAAATGCTTCAAAATAATTTCTGATAGGTATTTTAAGACTAAGAAAAATCATAAAGTTACTGTGAAATTACATTTATTTTTAAAATTTATTTTTAATAGTGTTTATTTTTCCTTTTTATTGAATTTATTGGGGAGACACTGGTTAACAAAATTGTATAGGTTTCAGATGCACAATCCACAGCACATCATCTGTACACTGTATCATGTGAAATGACATTCTTACATACTATTTTGGACATAGCGCTGAGGGTTAAAACAATGTGTTTTAATAGAAATTGATCAAAGAAATCCACCTTATATTATTAGCCTATAACCACAAATTTACCACTTCTCTCCTACATTTCTGTGATATGCTCCAATAATCCTGGCTACTCTCAATTTTCCAAGTAAGCCACACCCTTCCCACCTTCACACCTTACTTTACTCTTAAGGTAGACTCTCAAGTCTTCGCCTCTGAGACTTATTCTACTTACCGTGTTCCAGTTTGAACGTTATTGGCCTGTTCAGCCTTCTCTAGTTACCCTAGCCAATGGTATTCTCCCTCTCTCTCACAGCACCATAGAATCTCGTGTTGCCTTACTGATACATTGTAACATCTGTATGTGTGTAATTAGACTTTGGGCCCAATGAGAGACACTCATGGCCTCCTAATTGTCAGCTTCATGTGGAGTCTTTTCCATACCTTTCTGACACTGACACTGATAACCACTCATTTTTATAGATCTTCCTCTTGTCTTCTGGCAGCACAATTTCCCCCCTTTTCCCCTTGCCTGTCTGAAGTTAAAAGAAAACAAAACTCTGTATCAGAGTTCTGACTCTTGATCATCATCTTTCCTTGCTGTGGACTGAATCATGCCCCCCAAATTCATATGTCGAAGTGCTAAGACCAGGTGTAATCATGTTTGCAGATGAGGCCTGTAGGAGATACTGAGGTTTAGGTGAGCTCTTGAGGGTGGAGCCCTCATGTGGGATTAGTGCCATAGAAGGTGAGACACTAGGGAGTTTGTTCTCTCCACCATATGACAATGAAGTAGGCAGGTGACTGTATGAAGCCAGGAAGACAGTTCTCACCAGAAACCAAACTGCTGAAACATTGATCTTGGAATTTCAAGCCTCCAGAATTATGAGA